TGTCCTAGACTAGACTATGAGGGCTCTTATCCTAAATTTTGACACTTTTAATCCTGGTTCAGATCTAAGTGGGCAAAAATTCTCCTTCCTATTAGATATATCAAAGCCACCCTCTGAGCACAGCTGTAGCAATGAACCTTGTTTTGCTTTGGCATGTTAATACCCAAAGGGCAGTGCATAGTTACAGGTCATGTCAGCCTGGTTGTTTTGCAAGGGAAATTTCTTTCTCTCTGCATAATAACTTTTTACAGGCATGAAGGACTAAGGAAACATGTTGTTCCTCCCCTTCATTCCCCAGATACTATTTGTTGTACCCATCTGCCTGCAGCTTTAATATCACACTCATTAAAAAATCCCAGATCAGTTGCATGGATGGAAGTTGTGGGGGGCTGCCCTGTGCTTCTGGAGCCATTATAATGTGCAGGCCAATGGCTCAGTGTTCTTTCAGCTGATGATTAAATGCTTGGCTCATAAATACCAATATTATGTAATTCCAAAATCGAGGCAGCAAATTGTGACCATATGGGAGAATCTCTTTTTGGGAAGATTTGAATATTCCAAAGTCAGTCTGAGGAACAAAATACGCTTCTCATCAAGAGTTGGCTAGAGCAGCAGTCATGACTTCATCCTCTGTCTCTCCTTGTGCCCTGGTTCCCCATTGCCTCCTAGCTTAAGATTATAAGCGTGATCCAAAGGCCTGCTGGGCTATGTGAACAGGCCCAGGACTGTTGTGCTTCTTGTGCCCCAGCAGTCAACTATGCTGGCTCTTTGGAGTTCATTTCCTTGTCAGTGTGTTGGGCAATGGTTGCAGGTGAGGAAGAGCAGGATGTCTTCTTATTTCAAGGCCTAATCTTAACAGGTTCTGTGTACATTTGGCCATCTGCATCTAAATGGATTGTGGGTGTTTTTGAGCATGCATGGTATGCTTCTCAACAGTCTCTGTGTCCCTGCCTCATCTGGATGTAAAACCACTTGAAGGCTATGATATTTAGAGGGAGACTGGGCCTTCTTTCTGTATCCTCTGCTTTAAAGTAGGCCTGATAAATATTTTATATTCCTGCCTGAGGTGGGAGGAGTTTTAATTAGTGCTCACTAAGGGCTCTGAATAGCTAGAGTTGTAATTATGGGTACCGAAAGCTTTTAATTTTCTAGGCGAATTGAAAGCTGGCACAAACCCTTGACACAACATCTACAGTTGTTGGTAGATGCAGGGAATATCTTGTTTCTTGCCAATCACGTTCCCTCCAAGGAGCCTGGAGTGTTGCATTTGGGGAAGAATACACTTAGTGCTGCTGGATTTCTTCATGTCTTCTGCAAGACTGCAGCAGTTCAAGAGCTGCTCCATTTCATTTGCAGTCAGTTTTCTCATTGCCTCTTTGCTAAGAACTGGTGCATTTGAATACCCAGTAGACCCTCTATCCTGGAACAGGATTCTAGCCACCTAGGAAGTTGATCTCAAAGGTCTTTCCCATCTCTAAATGCTTTCATCCCATGGCCTCATGTCTGAGATAGCCATGAATGATTTCTCAGGCATTGACTATGGTTTATATCGACAAAACCCAGCAACTCTTAATTTGTTTGTATGGTTATCTGTGCCTATCCCACAGTATCTGGGGAGGGCTACTGATAAAAATCAGTCAGGGAGAGAAGGCATGCTTGCTACTTGCAAGTGTAGTTGATGTAAAATATCCATACCTGTTGTTCAGAGGGACTACTAATGAGCGATGCCTCATGGTGTACAGAAAAGACTTTGCAATGTCTTTCTCAGGCAGTGCTCCCTAGAGAGCTCTCAGTGCTCTGCCCGAGGGTTTCCCTCACTCCGGTGATACCAGTTTTCACTGCTTTCCTATGATTACCAGTTTAAATAACTCTAGGTATTTTATCATCCAGATGTGATCAGAAACAAATACTATGGAACACCTTGTAAAAATAATGGGGTGTGAGAACAGGCAGTTGAGAGGACAAAAATACCATTGCCTTTCGTTGTTCCTCAGAGGAAATTGCATTGTCGTGAGCTTCCATTTTAGCTTCCATACAGAGTTTGGAAGATCCTGTGTTTGTTTTCCTCTCTTGAAGGAGGATGGCAGGGCTCTCCAAACAGAAGGGCTTGAAGGCAACGCAGCCTAGGGATCCAAGAAGTCGTGCAACCTGGATTCTTCCACTGATTCCAGTGTCTGCTCTTGGGCAAGTCACCTAGTGTCGTCAGCTCCAGCTTCCCACCTCCCCAGAGGCTTTGTTCATCTGAGATATCTGAGATGGGATTTCCACAGTGATCCTGAAGTATCCTGCTCTTAACAAAACCCGAGATTTTTCCCTTCTGCTTGGTTAATATATCAGGGAACAGCTTTGGAAACATCTCGCTGATGGTTTGCACTGACCTGACTTGTTATTACAGCCCTTTGGGCAGCAGCAGCAGTAGTGCAGAGCCAGACGCTGGACTGACGTGGCTGTGCTGCATTCAGGTGGCTGAACTGAGCAGGTTCCTTTTCACCATGCTTAGCGATGGCAAATGGGTTCAGTGGTGCCTGGGTTAGGATCCTGAGCTGAACAAATTGAAGGAAATTTCCATGATGAGCCTAGCACAGGTATGAATGCTGGCGGCCACTGTGGTTTCTGATGCATCTTTCGCTCACCAGCCTCTGCAGCGATGAGATGATCACCTGCTGGGGGCTGTCAGCACTTCTTGATGCTGAACTGCAAGGATTATTTTCTTTAGTTGACTCTGGAAATGATTTCCATTGATATGCTGCAAGCAGGGAAAGGCACCAAGCGTTTTGTGGTAGGCAGGAAAATCAAACATATCACTGCAGTTAAAAGAGACATAGCAGCAGCTTCAGATGGCTGTCAGGTTTCTCCATCTGTACAGTATCAGACAAACTGATACTTTCAGTCTGAATTTAATCTCATTCACAAGAGGCGTGAAGCCAGAGAGACTAGACATTGAGTCTACAAGAGAGCATGCACAGTATGTCTCTGACCAATGGCGCTCAACTAATGTGGAGAGAAGCTTTCCTCTGCAGACACAACAAGGTCAGTAGGTGGCCAAAGGTGTGTTTTGCAACAAAGGAACATCTGTCACCTGCCAGAAGATGTCCCATAAATGCTAAGGAAAGCCTTACAGCTGATGGAAGTTTCTCCGTGAAAACATTGTCTTTTAACATGAGCAGGCTTTCTTAATGCAACAAAAGATCACCAGTGATTTTTGTTCTATTCTTTTGTAATTTTAGAGAAAAGCTGTTGGATGGCAGACTTGAGAAGACAGAAAGATTTTTGTGGACAGATTTTTTCCTCTTCTTTGCCTTTTCTGCTCCTTTACCAAAGGGTTCTGTTGCAGGTGTTTTATCAATGAGGAAAGGCAATGGAAAGCAAAGGAGAATGTGAGGAACAGTAAGAAAGGAGACAATTTTTAGGGTAAAAATCCTTTCTCACTAAAACAACTCAAAAACAACAACAAAAAATTTTCCCCCAAACCTAAAATGGATCAGAGCTTTTTTTTTATTACTTTTTTCACAAAAAATTTCGGTCCTCCTTCCCCCAGTTGCCTGTCAGTACAACTGGCCAGTTGCTCACACCAGTGAATAGGCGGGACTGGCTGCAAACAGAAGGCTAAGGAGGGATGGGTGGCAGCTGGGAGAACAGGCTGCAGAACCTGTGCACAGCGCTTGAAAGGCCATTAAACCATCCCCTCAGATGGCCCCTTCGTCTTCCTCCAGTGATTAAGAGGAAGTTGCTCCTTGCAGTGATTACTGTGTACTGCTTGGAACAGTTACCGGCTGCCTGGGCACCAAAAGCACAAGCTCTGGGCTTCAGAGCTATCCTGTCTTCAGGATATTAGCTGAAACCGGAGTGATCCAGACAGCTGGAAGCCAACGCTATTGAATGTTGTCTCTCCTTTGCTTCTAGGAGACTGAGGATGCTGGTGGTTTCTGAGATAACTTAGCAGTTATCTCAGAAGAGTGGCAAGTCTGTCACGTTCGCTTTGGTGCCTTTCACTGCAAAAAGGTTCTCCTACAGTGATCTTTATCCACAATTACAGATGTTATATTTTAAACCTTCTCTGCCAAAGATTCAGCCAGTACAGCTAGTGACTCTAATGCAGCAGGTTTGTTTGACATCAGGGCTAATTAGTAATCGCCCAAATCTTGGAGCAAGCTCTTTCAGACCTGTTTTTTTTTTTTTTTTTTCTCCAAGCAGGCTAGGCATAAAAGTCTGTCTGCCTAATTTGCAAATGCGGTTGCTTTAATTATGCATCCAAATAGGGAAAGTGTATGCTCAAAAAATAGATAGCTAATTCCCTACGTATGATGATAATGTGCATACAAATTATCTGTGTCCTCCAAAACTTACACCATCTGAAAATCTGCCCTCTCAGAGGACAACCGTTTAAAAAACAAGAGCAATAACAACAAAAGCCAAACCCTCCTTTCTTACAAGCTTACAACAGCTAAGACACCAGTTTAGCCTGTGTTTTGTTGGTGTTGCTCCTATGGTTGTTTTTGTTTTATGCAGTATATCCTTTTCCTTGCCCAGAGCTAACTCCAGCCAGGGTCAGAATGCAAGGGTTAGACACTGTGAGTGTACCTGCTGCTACACTGAAGAAATTCCCTCCCCAAGAGATGGCAGGCACAGGGAGGTGTGACAAAGCGGGGGGAGCCGAGGGTAGGAGGACACAGGGACTTGTCTCGATAACTGCTTGTGAAGGCAGTAGATGGAGGGCTGGAGAAGCAGCCAGAGAGCTCAGCTGGATACATCAGCAGCCCCTGCCTCTGCCCTGACCTCCTCTATGGGCACCGTAATAGCAGACCCCGGTGCTGGTTGTCATCTTGCATCGTATAGGTCCTCCCGTGCTCAGGCTGAGACTTGACTCCTACAGCTCCAGCCTGCTGGTGATCCCCCTACCTGCCTAAATCTTGGCACTGTCAAACTGGCATAAATCTCCCCTAATGGTTGTACCAGGTCTTGCTTTGTCCTCATGCTTTCTTCCTTTTCTTTTCACTCAGATGAGCAACAAAAGGTCAAATAGCTTTCGCCAAGCCATCCTTCAGGGGAACAGGAGGCTGTGCAGCAAGGCTCTGCTGGAGGAAACAGGACTGAGCCTATCCCAGAGGCTGATCCGGCATGTTGCATATGAGACCCTGCCACGAGAGATAGACCGGAAGTGGTACTACGACAGCTATACCTGCTGCCCTCCACCCTGGTTCATGATTACCATCACTATTGTAGAGGCAAGTATCTTAATGCCCCCTCTCTGGGAAGCCATCCCATGCTGCCAAAGGCTTTGCTGAGACATGAACAAGTGCTACACCGGACAGGTTTGGACCTAGAAATGGACAAGCATGAAGCTAGTAGTATGGTCACTATGGCTTGTTAGTGCGTGTGCAAGTGGAGATTCTGATCCTGTCTGTCTCCGGGTGTGGATATTAGTCACTGAAGCAGTTTGTTTATGAACCTAGTTTGGAAGACGAAAGCAAAACTTTTTGAAGAGTGAAAATCGGGACCGTTTATGGAAACTAGTGATTCACATACTGGATTTTGAAGAAATATTTCTGTAAGGCAGCCTCTGTTCTGTGAATGGAGAAGAAAAGGAGGGGACAGAAACTGGATTAACTATTCGGACCTGATCATCTCTTGTCCAATTGAGCTCTTTGCTCAATAGCCAAGTAATGCACTAGAATAAGCACGGAGAAGGATAACCTATGGCCCTGCTCAGGCAGAGTGCTGATTTTCTCTGATTCAGTGGCTGGAATGTTATAGAAAGCCATGTACAGAATCGTGCTAGTGTGTTGCAGTTTCCTCAAAACAGGGGAGTTTCAGGGCTGTGTGAGGCTGTCGACTGGGAGAGAAATTGTTGTACAGTTTACTTTCCTTTCCATAAATTTGAGTTAAAAAAGATTTTTCAGTGAGAGAAGGCATTTGCTAACTGAGGAATCTTCCTGCTCTTCTAGGTTGCCTTTTTTCTTTACAACGGAGTGGTATTAGACAGGTTTGTGCTGCAAGTCACCCATCCATTATACCTGAAGAACTCATTAGTTTACCATCCTCAGCTCCGCGCTCAGGCTTGGAGGTACCTAACCTACATATTCATGCATGCAGGGTGAGTACTTACAAACTGCGGAGGTTCCCCACAGTTCAGGTTTCCCAGAGAGAGGGAGGCTGAGAAAGTGACTGAATCAGCTCAGAAAATGATTAAAAAAAAAATCAGTTCTGCATGATGTATAAAAATCTGAAGCTGTTGTAGAGTCTTGGGCAATGTCTGGCAAACCTTCACAGCTCTCTGAAGGGAAGAGGCAAGCTGAGGAATTTAACAGGTGCTGCTCTTCTCCCAGACAGTGTTGGGACCACACACACCTCTTAGTGTGCGCTTCTCAGTGTGGGCTTCCTAAAGCTCACCAGATAGAAGCCCAGTATCACCCTAGAGGAGGTGTGCAAGTGGTGGAAGGAATCTGCAGAGATGCTGGACTGGTATTTAAGAGCTACATGTTGTGTTCTTGACCCTGCCACAGAGTTTCTGGTTGAGGCTGGGAAAATCAGCTAAGCTCCCTATACCTACAGCATGTCCTCACTTGGTAATGTGGTCCCTTCTGTAGGGACTGAGATAATGCCTAGAAGCCTGAGTCGAGATTGAACACCTATTTTGTACACGCTGTACAAACACCAGTGCAAGATAATTTTTGTCCTGAAGAGCTGGCAGTCTTGACTGATCAAATGGACAGAGAATGGTCCACCTTGTGCAAAATGAAGGTGCACAGTAAAATGAATTGTCCTTCATCCCATGGGAGGTATGTAGCAGAAGAGAATGCAAGATTGTTCTAGTCCTCCCAAGATTCAAGGAAACCTAATGATGTGATGTTTGTGGTACCATGGTGATGAGTGAATGTCATAGGAAAGTTCATTCATGGACAAAACACCCTACCCCCTCTGTGTGGTTTCTCAGATCATTATCTTCACACTTTCCTGGCAGATAATTGCAATTTTCTGTAATTCTGTCATAGCAACAGGTTTTTAGCAGTAGTTTAAAGTTTGAAACTGGATAAAGACCCTTTGTTGTTAAGTGGAAAGCTTATACACCCATCAGTCAATGTTCTCCTTTAAAAGGCCAAAAAGATCAAACTGATCTTTTCCTTTTTCTGCTGGGAAGTGAATGTCCCTTTCTGGAACAACTGCCTCAGTGTGTAATTGCCCTTGAGCACAAGATGTGGCCCAGATCTCTGGATAAAAATCGTAGTCAGGACAGAACTGGCTTGACCCAAAGGGAGAGTAGAAAGAAAATGCTAGAGGGAAATTCTAAGCTTGGTAAGAGCCGGACTCTGCATGCCATATCCCTCCAAAAAGTCCTCTGTGTACAGGTTTCAACCTATTGAGCTAAAAGTGAGACTGGTTATGTAAATGAGAATTAGATTAGAATCCCTGAGGATGTGGGGAAAGCAGGGTTTGTGAAAGAAAGGAACATTGATTTTAACAAATGTTAACTGATTTGTATCTGGGTTTTCTTTTGTGTGTGTGTTTTTTTTTTTTTTTGTCTACTGTGTTTGTGTAACCACAGATTGCTTTGGGGTTCCATTTGAAGAGAAGCTGCTGCACAATGACAATTTCTGCAGCATTTAAGTGTCTTCCTGTATCATTTGTGACATGCTTTCCTAACCTGTGCAATCTTTCCTGTAGCAGGCGGTGCTCTGGCACTCCTCACACTTGTTGTCCAAAAAGTATATCAGGTTTCTTTTACATCTGTTGCTGGCTTTGGGGAGTAACAGCGGTGAAGGTGCTGTGCAGGAGTCTCCTTGCTTTTATAATGGATTCCAAGCTCTGTAGCCGCATAGCCCTCAAAACAATGGCAAGTCCTACTTGAACAATAAACCCCATGGTTTATCTGAAGTATCTGGAGTTAAGCTAAATGTTCATTTATTGCTAGCTCCTTTGTGTTAAGTTCCTTTCATTGCAGGAGAAGAGATAAATCTTGAAATGGTAATAACATTTTTAGTGGAAGCCCATCATTCTCCTCTCATTTTCAAACAAGAGGCTAACACAATGCTGTGGAGTCTATTGTTATCCTGCTTCCTACTGAGACTTTAAAATGGTAATATGGACTGCTCCTTAGTTTAGTGCTCTCAGTCTGCTTTTCCTTGAGCAACTGACAGTCGGAAGGTGTCCGAGAAGGCAGCAGTTGCTACTGCTTGGCTTGCTGTGCCTCTAGAAAGATTCCAAAAATGCATGGGCTGTGTTTCAGCATTGATGGAAGGAGCTTTGTAAAGGCAGAAAAGGCAGGCAAAGCTGTAAATTCTGCCCTTCTGCTTTCATGGAAAGCAGACGTTGATTATCTGGGGCCCACGCATTTGTAGCACTGCCATAACTAATGACTTGCATTGATGCTCAGTCCCATTTGTTTGGTCCCAAGGAAGGCAAAAGTCTTCAATAAATCAATGAAATTGTCATTTCAAGAATGACGCATTCAGCACTGGCAAAGGCTAATTATATTTTATGGGTACTTATTGACTGTGGAGCCTTCACTGCTCTTAGCCTGATGGGGAGGAGGAGTGAATGGGATAACTCCTGGAAAGTCTTTTAAGAACAGCTGTGAATCAGAGCAGTTACTTTAGAGTCTAGGATAAACTTTGTCGAGCTTACAAAAGCTGCCTTTGAAAAATAAGACGCAGTGCTTTGTGTGAAAATGTCAGGCACCGCCTCATGACGTTAGCTGTATGCCGGCTGAAGCTTCTTCCCTCCTTGCTCTGAAAGGGCACTTGGATGCTTTGACTCTTTTTTGTGATCTCTCTTTGACCTTTGCTGCTCATTCCTCATTCAGTTCCCAAGTTCTGTGAACGTGCAAGATCAGAATGGAGGCCCGAATGTGCCCATGCCCGGTGGCTTCAAAGGCACTGAGCAAGGTGATAAACACACTCAGTTATGTGCAGCAATTGCACATGATGGCTGAGTGTCTGATGCAAGGAGATAAATTTGTCCTTACAGAGAAATGAGGTGGAAACAAACCAGTCCTGTGGTATCATTTCTAGCAGTCTTTGCCAGTGTAACTTTACATTCTTCTTCACGAGGCTGTTCTATCAGTTACTGCGTCTTACCCTCAGCACTATTTTTCTGATGTATATGGGAAATTGCTGTGGTAACATGAAGAAAGACCAAAGCAGTAAAATGCATGTAACTTAAACAGGGGATTGCTAAGGGCTGTCTGTGAGCAATCCATTTCTGGTATAAAATAGGACATAGATTTACCGTGCATTAGCTACTTTGCCCTCTTTCCCCTAAAAGATACTAGTCTTTTGCATTAAGGGTGCATTTGTGTCATTTAGGTCCACCTGCTTTGTAAGCGGACTCAGGCTCTCTTCATATGGAAAAGAATATTCCCCTGGGGACCAGTGTGATGTGGCCATTCAGCAAGAATCACAGCCCTGTGGGCTCAGAGCAAATCTCAGACACTAGCAGAGTACTGAAGATGGACCCTATTCAGGGGCCTGGTGCTGTTGTTACATCAATGGAAGATCCTTTAGCTGGCAAAGGGATGGGTAAATACTTACATGGAGCTTTGAAAAGTAGCAAGACCGTTTTGTTAAGTATTATTGATTAGAACAACAACTTGCATTGAAACCGTTGATTCTGCACAGCAGAAATCTGGCGCACTGGGATCTTTATCAAATATTCACATCTTAGCTGTCATGCTGTCTACCTCTAGACTGCATGTGGCTCTACACTTGCTGATGTGCACAGTGGGGTTTCTACAGGACTAGTCTCAGCCCAGCTCTTCCCATTGTATTCAACAGGTGTTTTGCTGTTGATTGTAATGGGAACAAGGTAGGAGAACAGAGAGCTTCACTGAATACACTTGGTGTCCCACTGTGCTGCCAACCTGTGTCAGCCAGACATGAAAACTCTCTCTGCTTCCTGTTCTGACCATGATCGCATTGAAGCAAACTCCGCAGAAAAGGGTGAGAGGCAGATAGCACAAGCTGTAAAGCTGCATTATGTGTCCACAAGAAAAGAGGTACTGTCTTGGGACTGCTAGGCTTACCTCATTGTTAACTCAGTATCCACTCCCCATCATGGCAATGTAACATGCCCAGGGAAGGCTGTATCATTAAGAGAGAAGAGAAGAGCAAGTAAAGTTTCTGGGTTCTTTTCCTGGCTCTTCTGCCATCTTGCTGCATTTTTTGGACAAGTCATTTCACTTCTTCACATTTTTCAACCCCTCTGTTTAAAAACAAAAAGAAACAAGTGCCATTAATAACCGAAAGTGCTCTGAGGTCTTTGGCTCAAAAGACCTAGGAGGATATGAAAGAGATAACGAGCAGCAAGGAGGGAAGGAACATCTCAGCTCTGGGTCTGATTGTTCCAGGAACCACTGTTTTTCCTAGCGTTACGGTCTACTTTCATGAAGCAGATGCTATTCGATTTCCTTTCCAAGACGTCAATGTCTCAAGGTTAATAAGGGGAACAAAGAGTTAGGAAGGAGGACATCCGCCATTTCTCCTTGCCACAGGATAGAACACCTTGGACTCAATGTTGTGCTTCAGCTGTTGGTTGGGGTTCCCCTGGAAATGGTACACGGAGCAGCAAGGATCAGCTTTGTCTACATTGCTGGAGTTGTGGCAGGTAGGTGACACTTCTGGATAGCTTCAGATGGAAAGGCATCTGAAAGTGGTCTCTGCTGACTTTCTTAAGATTTGAGGGTAGGAGAAAAGCAATCACTGATTTTGTAGGTGCGCTTTTAAACTCTTTTGGAGGGTGGAGGTGGGAAAGATGCTACAAGTTGACATCTCTTTCTAACTAGCCATAGACTTTGTGTTTAGGAGCCCAGCTAAAAATAACTGTTCCTTCAAAATAGCTTTGCTGTAGATGGCCTTCCTGAATGTGTCTGTGGAGGTCACACTGTTCCTTTGCTCTTGTGTCCCACGGAGGCCTGGAAGAAAGGTGTCATCAAAAGTATCCATTGCCCCCCTACATGAAGGGTCAGGTTTTTTCCATGTCCTGTATGAGTTCTTCCTCCATTTGACCTGGGTTCTCTGGTTCCTACAGCCTGAGTAAGCAAGAATTGTCTGACTGCAGCCTGTGAGCAGTGTACAGGAGCCTGGAAATTCGTTTAAACATGAGGCTTTGGGATTTGATTGATTTTTAGTTTGTACTGTATTGCTTTTGTTTATGTTTGGCATTTCCAGTAGTTTGGAGGTAATGGAAGTTAACTGACAATAGATCAGCATCTAATTAAAACAGGAGGAGAGTGTGAGAACAGCCAATGGCTTCACAGTGGAACTCAGACAAGAATGGATTGCCTTAGCTCAAGATTTATGATGATTTTTTTTCAGCTACGTAATTTTAATTTTTTCCATAATGAGCAGATAAAGCCATTGTAAAATGGGCCACAGTGAGTACTAATAAATCCCTCACTCCGGGAGGGAGGCTGTGAAAAGAATAATTGGACTAGGACACAGGACGAGGCGTAGTACAAACACTGCACTCTTTAATGCAGAGAAGGGAGTTAGCAGACCTGCTCTGGTGTCCCTTACCTATCATTTTAATAAGCATTAAAGTGGTCCCCAGTCTGCAACTTTCTAGACACAAACTTTTATTCATCGATCCATCTATTGGGATAAAGAGAGGAAGCAATATCTATGTTTGGACGTACCATTATTAGTGGTACCTGTAAGTGATTGGCTTGTCCTTTTGTCATCGCCTTTTTACTGCCTCCATCCAGGTTATTTTTAGCTAGTTTTACTCTAAAGCTTTATAATAACAGGTTGTGCTTTGATCAGAATCCTGTGCTAAGTTACATGGCCCCAGTTCCTTCTCACTGTGCAAATATTTGTCTTGCCAGGAATGCAGCTACTTCTGTTTTATCCTCCGGTAAGGAACAGGACACAGACATTTGTCTTCTGCTTCCTTGTTATTTTAATCAGGATGTAAGTGCCTTTTGCAGCACAGGTTTGAAGATACATTGCTGCCTTGTGCTGGCCTGCTTGGCTGCTTTTAAAGTAGGTGCACAAAAATTGATCAGTCGCTTTCTTGACAGTGCTGAGTTAGTTTCTCAAGTCGCTTTATTCTCCTTTCCCCCCTCCTTTCTCTTTGATTTCCCCGTGTATTGCTGGCCTGCAGCAGTTAACCCAGAACAGGCAGTAGCAGGGACGTAGGTGGGAAAGAGGGTTTTTATTTGGCTGGCAATTGTAATAAACCCTTGTTCTTCCTCCCAGGGTCCCTTGCGGTGTCAGTAGCTGATATGACTGCGCCTGTGGTGGGCTCCTCTGGAGGTGTGTATGCACTCGTCTCTGCTCACTTGGCCAATATAGTCATGGTGAGTACGAGAATGCCTGTCTAGCCTCTCTGAAAGTGAATGAATCCAGCCAGGTCTGATGGCCTCAGCAACTGGAAATGGCACCTGACCCAGCTGTCAGTCTTTCAGGGCTTGCCACAGTTAACAGTGTCACAGTGTCTTGTCTCAGTGGTCTGGTCTCAGAACGGAAACATTACATTGCAGTTGGTGGTGGCTTGGTACCCTGACTGGCAGCCTGTCAGCAGAAGCCAACGACAAGACTTATCAACTTGCTCCAGGCTATCAGCTTTCCTTAAAAGGGTTGAGAAATGTTTGGAAGGGAGCTGACCTACTCTGCAGGATTTGCAGGGCTGTTTCTGTCTTCATGTGTCATGTCATATTAGCTGCTACCTAAGGGAATTTCAGTATTTGGTGGATCTGGGTGTAGAATATCCCTTACCTCCTCTTGTAAAACCCAGGCTGAAGCTGACCCCGGCCATAATATTTTTTTTCTGTTTCACGTAATAAAGTACTTTACAAAGGTCAGTAAATACCAGCATTTCTCTAAGACTTGGAAACAACAGCTCATCCAAGGTACTGAGCAAGGTAGTGGCAAAGCCCGGCGTGTCTGCCTGTGTGACCCCCTAAGCCGACTGCTGGGCAAAAACCGCTTTGCTGAGAGAGCTATTTTTGTTGTGATTAGGATTCATGTGTGATGGTACACGGCTGCACATCTGCCCTGTACCAGCAATGTCAGAGCAGAATAACCATAAAAATGACGGTAATGCAGCCTTCCCTGGGGTCTGAGCGGGAAGACAATGAGAGTAAGCTGCAGTGGAGACAGAAGGTCTGTTATATGGGCACTGGAAAACGTGTGCATGTATGGTGGTACTTACCTCAAGCCTAAAAGAAAACCTTGTATTTAATGCCGTCAGCAGGCCTGAGCTGCAACCCACAAGCCAGTGCTGCTCCAGGCAGCCTTTGTAGCATGTGGGAATGGGGGAAGTGAGGGGTTTCCCGCACAGAATAGGTCTCCTTTGCTGTTGTTTAGTTTTTCAGAGCATGAAGGAGCTGTGGGCTGTCACCAGAATTAGGACACTGAGTGTCTGGCAGAGGTGGGGAGAGGAGGAGAGGCAGTGCTCCTATCCCACAGGGTTCCTGTTGAGGAAAAGCCTCCTGATACACAGTTATGTTCCGTAGGAATGGTTGCCCATGGTTCTGTTGGCTCAGTGGTGGGAGGGTGTTTTCTGTCATTCAGAAGGTGGTAGCACAGACATGGGGTTTCTTCACACGGAGATTCGCGAGGCTGGAGGGGGAAACTGGAGGAAATTTGCGTTTGCTTTAGAGAAAGAGGCTCTGCCAGAGGTGTGTAGGAGGGAGTCTTCAGCAGTGATCTTCTCACACTTCTTAAAACATTGCAAAAGGGCCTGTCATCTGGGGGCTGACCTGCTGGAAAGCAGCTCTGCGGAGAAGGACCTGGGAGTCCTGGTGGACAACAAGTTGACCGTGAGTCAGCAACGTGCCCTTGTGGCCAAGAAGGCCAATGGTATCCTGGGTTGCATTGGGAAGATTGTTGCCAGCAGGTCAATGGAGGTAATCCTTCCCCTCTACTCAGCCCTGGTGAGGCCCCACCTGGAGTGCTGTGTCCAATTCTGGGCTCCCCAGGACAAGAGAGACATGGAACTCCTGGAACTAGTCCAGAGAAGGGCTACTAGGATGGTGAAGGGACTGGAGCATCTCTCCTATGAGGAAAGGCTGAGAGAGCTGAGACTGTTCAGCCTGGAGAAGAGAAGACTGAAGGGTCTTATCAATGTGTATAAGTATCTGGAGGGAGGGTGTGAAGAGGATGGGGCCAGACTCTTCCCAGTGGTGCCCAGCGATAGGATGAGAGGCAACGGGCACAAACAAAGGAATTCCGTCTGAACATGAGGAAAAAAGTCTTTACTGTGAGGGCGACCGAGCACTGGCACGGGTTGCCCAGAGAGGTTGTGGAGTCTCCTTCCTTGGAGATATTCAAAAGCCGTCTGGACACAATCCTGGGCAACGTGCTCTAAATGACCCTGCTTGAGCAGGGTGGGGGTTGGACTAAATGATCTCCAGAGGCCCCTTCCAGCCTCAACCATTCTGTGATTCTGATTCTGTGATTTTACCACTCATTGGCCTCCTCCAAAAGTATTTAGCAATTCTTATGGTAGCACCTCCGTTATTGGCTGTTTCCTTTCTCTCCTGATCTGAAATGACTTTTACTGCCTTCCTCATTCTGGTGAAGCTTTTTACTTTTCTTCCTCCCTTTCCCCCCTCTCTCTGCTCACCTAATATCTAGATGTGATATTGAAAAGATCTTGGCCACTTGCCACTCACTTGAATTGCTGGTAATGCTCATTTTTTTTGCAAAGGTGCTTTGAGCATGCTGGAGAAGAGGAGGGACTGGTGCAGGGAGGGTCTCATTTGGATCTTCTGTTCCGTTATGCCTCCTGGTAACCAAAGGAAATGAAAACGTCTCTACTTGTAAAAATAAATATTCTTGGAATTAAATACATAAAATAACCAACAGGGGGAAGCGATAAAGCATCTCACCCAAAGGAAAGAGTAAAGGGAGAAATTCCAAACAGCTCCATGGAAATGAAGAGCAAAGGAACCAGCACAGCATTAATCAGCATGAGTTCAGAGCCTTCTGACTGGGTTAGGTGTCTCTGTGGAGAGAGAAAATGAGTAGCTTGTTTTGTAGAGACTGCATTTTTGCACTCACAGAAGTGATTTACGGACAGATCCCACATAAAACTTGAATATACGTTATGTGCATTGCAGAATATTGCTTCAGCAGGCTGAAAAGTCAGTGAGTGCCTTTGAAGTTAGACTGAAGAGTTTACAAATATTCTTTTTTCAGTGTGATGAACAGGTGGTTTGTTACAAGAGGCCTGCCGACAGGCTTCTCTCTTAATAATGTTCCAGAACATTATTAAGGCCTGGTATCTGATACTGCTGTCAGCAGGCAAAATTTCCTTGACTGCTTAATAATAATAATAGTGTTGTCATACATCTGGGCATTTATTTTCTGTAATTATATGTATTCATTTATTTGCTAGGTAACACTGGTTTTAGCTGTCTGATGGACAGCTTTATTTGATTTCCCCTTTCAACTACTTTTAACTATTCATGCGGGACTTATTGCGATCTGCTTTGGATGGAAGGAGAGAATACCGGTTCTGGGCACTTGTTTTAAAACCTGATCCTTCCAAGCCCATGTACAGTTATTACTGTTGACTTGTGAGGATGCGAGCTGGGATGAGATCTAAAATCTAAGTGAGCTCTTAGAAACGTACCTCTCAGCGCTACTCAACTGGATATCTGCTACTGCTTTCAATGGCAATGACACCTTCCACGCACAGTTTAATATGTAAATAACTACCACTATTACCTCTACGCTGGCTCACTGTGTTTTATAAAAAGATGAGCCACGCCAGACTCTTGGATCTGAAAAGCCTTTGACTTTGGGAAATGTGTAGACCTTGACTTTGATCCTTGCTAAAGGCACGCTGAAATCAGTTGGAATTTGTCCATTTATTTGAGCAGGCTGTAGGTCAGGCTCTTTGTTAATGTCTTCATCCATTCACAGATTGAGCCGGGACCGTGTTCTGGATCCAGCAGGACTTTGTATCCCAACTCTGCAGCATAGGCTTATTGACAAATGACTTTCCCTTTTGTGCGTTCATGTTAAATTGGTAAAAAATCAGTAGTAAGCCTGCATACCAAGGACTTTTAAAATACGTTTATCTGACTTACTGTCTAATTACCTGTAGACTGTCAATTAGACAAAGCTTTCCTTGAGTTGGGTGCATGCTTAATTACTCTGTCAGTGATTCCTCTTT